TCTCTACCAGTAAGTGCTATTATAAATAATTATCTCCACATCAGCTCATCAGGGGACTGGATTCTTTTGGGTTGAGGAACACTTTTATTTCAATAAGGCTGCTATCATTGGAGCAGTAAGTTTAACTCCTTATACTTTTACTAGTAGAAAAATACCGCTCTCCAATATTTAGGATTTTATGTCAAGATGTCACACTTTATTTTAATGAGTTCCTTGATTTCCCAGCTCTGTTTCTTTCGTTAGCATAAACTCTCCCTTGGCAACTTTTACCATGTCTAGTTCTAGTAACACTAAATAAAAATTAAGGCTGAATAAAATAACTCATAGTAAGTGAACTCATCAAATATAAACCAGATGCTGTATTTTTCACATTATAGACCCTTCCAAGCAACATCATAAGTTATTAATATTTAAAAGACACAGGAAAAATATTGTGTGCCTATTTTCCTGGCATTTGTGTTTTCTTAAAAAATAAAATATTGATTAGTAATTTAAGGGATTTACTGAGATAAATACTTGTATCATGTACCATGTTGAGAGGATGTGCTAGAGTGATCTGGTGATTCGCCAAAGTATATCCCAACCGATCTTGTTAGTTTTGATCAATCAATCAATCAAACCAAAGTTGAGCTCAACAGTTTTGTTACTAGAATGGGCGATGTGAGAGGAGATAAAAACACAGGAAGAAATCATTTCTTTATATACATTTATTTATTCATTTTTGGCTGCATTGGGTCTTTGTTGCTGCACGCGGGCTTTCTCTAGTTGCAGCGAGCGGGGGGCTACTCTTCACTGCGGTGCGCAGGCTTCTCATTACGGTGGCTTCTCTTGTTGCAGAGCATGGGCTTTAGACGCACCAGTTTCAGTAGTTGCAGCGCGTGGGCTCAGCAGTTGTGGCTCGCGGGCTGTAGAGCTCAGGCCCAGTAGTTGCGGTGCACGGGCTTCGTTGCTCCGCGGCATGTGGGATCTTCCCAGACCAGGGCTCGACCGGTGTCCCCTACATTGGCAGGTGGATTCTCAACCACTGCGTCACCAGGGAAGCCCAGAAATCATTTATTGAGAGTTCACTATAAGCCACATGTTTTACATAAATCTTCTCACTTACTATCTTATTCTATCCTGGAGGGGTGAGTATTATAGTCATTTACATTTTAAAGATGAAGAAAGTGTAATTCAGGGAGTTAGTGAGCTATAAGAGTATTTGAACACAGTTATGACTCTAAAATACGTGCTCAAGTTACTGCCCATATTTTCTATTTTTAAGCACTTATCGTCTGAACGAGCAAGCACGATTTGTACATACAGAGTGAGACAGAGTCACAGAGACTTACACACACGGTGGAGAGGTCGGTCTAAGACTGCATTTAATCAGGTACCTAAATTAGCACCTAAATGAGTGGGGCAGCTATCCATGCTCTGATGATTACATGAGATGGAATCCTGAGTGTGCTTGACACCTGGGAACCAAGGAAAAGGGGAATGTTTGGTGACTGGGCTAATACTTCTCGATTATTCAAGGTTAAGAGTCGGTGAGCAGCTCCCATTAAAACAGCAGAGAAGAAGCCGATAGAAGGGCCAAAGAATAGGGCAGTCGAGAGTTAGTTCATTGAAAACAATGCTGAATGTTCAAAAGAGAGTCAAATAACTGAGTAAAAACAAAAAGAATGAGGATCATGGAAAGGACAGGAGGCGTTCGCTGGTGACCTTCAACTCAGTATCCCAATAGGATAATGGAGTGGGAATTAGGACTCCGGTGATCAGGGGTGATCCTCAGAGCAACGTCCAGAGAAAAAGGGCCCCCGGGGTTCCTCCTTTTGTCACCTTTCTGGGTACTGTCTCTGCTCCTTCCCACAGTACAGCTGTCAGAGGACAGTTCCTCTGTAAGGCACCCCCTGCGTCCCCTAATCTTTCCCCTTTCAAGGTTCTTGATCAGCTTCCTTTAGCATCCCAGGTACTATGTGAATTGGCATTGTGTCTGTGTGTGTGTGGGCGTGTGCGCCCGCGCTTCAGAGACTTAATTTCATGTCATCCAGATGCTGAATATCATAATGACTTTCAAATGTGGCCAGATTATAGTCTTCAAATTCTCATAGAAGAGAGAATTTCATTTCCAGAGATTATGGCGCTAAATTGTTTTGACTTAACTGCAGTTTTGACCCAAGCTGTTATACTAAAAATGTCAAGGGGACATAATAAAAATTGCCTGTTTCTAGTGCTTTCCAGTTGACAGATCTTAGCATAAAGATTTTTTTAAAGATGTTTATGTAGAGGAAATAGAGTGACCCCATTGAAATAACCATTTCCTTTAAAAATAAAATGTGATCCCATATTCCCTGGTAGAAATCTAAAGGCTCTAAGTGACTTTTTATTGCTAATTTCCAAATAATAAAATTACAGGGATACATTTCAAATAGCAAAGTTGCTAATGTTCAGTACAATGGCAGTCATCTTCCCAGCTCTGGAACGGGGATTTTGAGGAGGGTTTGTGCATGGTGAATACAAACTGAGAAAAGTCATTTGCTCATAAATCTAAAGTTCAATGGTGGCCGGGCTGATAAAATGAAAGAGAAAAAATTATGCAAGTTGCTATTGGTGGGATAATAGCTCACTGCTGTGCTTAAGACACCATTGAAAACATAGCTCTCGTTTTTTAATTTTATGAAATCTCATGAGGAAAAAAATAAAGGTCTGAGACGGTTAAAATACACGGGAGCTTTACATGTTTGTATACATAGGAATTTGAAGAAAAACAGAAATGTTTACACTTGAAGTTGAAATCCTTAAAGGGAATTAATAACTGAATTTAGCCTTATCTCCATTCTGTAGGTTCTGTTTAATTAGTTTATCTACACTTACCCAAAAGCTGTAATCATGGAAATAGATACTGCACAAAGCCTGTTGTCAAAACTCCTGGCGTGGACTTAGGCACTGTGATGTAATGCCTCTGTCCTAAAAAAATAACGTACTCACAGCAGAACTATAGATACTGATGCCCCGGGTTCCTATTAGATATCTCTAATTATTGATGAAGGAGAAACGCTCATAAAGATTATAATCATCATATTAACTATTTATGTTGTTAGTTGGGGAAAGTTGGGATGAGAGATGTTTTATTCGGTTTGACTGTACTTTTGGGGGGTA